CTTTTTGCTTCTTTCCTTGCTAACTTATTCCTCAAAGTTTTCCTTGCTCTTATACTTTTGCCAATATTTATATAATGTTTTCTTCTCCCTAATTGTTTTTTGCACTTTTTCATACCACCAACAGCTCTCCTTACTATCTAACATACAATCCTTAAATTCTCCTAGAATATCATTAGCCACCTTCTTAACACACGAGAACATACTATTTCACATAACATTCGTCTCATTATCTATATTCCATATATCTTCTTTCGTCATCTTATCTTTAAAAAGTATTCAATTCTCTTCTTTTAACTTCTACCATTTAGTTCTTAATCTTTTGTTCATATTAGTTTTCCTACTCCACTTTTTAATAGAAAAGTCTAATGCTATCGACCTATGTTGTGTAGTTAAACTCATTCTGGGTATAATTTTACAATCTTTGCATGTTAACCTATCCACCCTTCTAGTAAGAAAAAAGTCTGTTATTAAGTGTTCATCCTTTTTTCTAAATTGTGTATTTACTATTATCAGATCATATGATGTTACCAACTTCAAAACTGCCCATATTGTTCCTAATTCCATACCCAAAACCTCCATATATCCTCTTATATCCATTATTATCATTTCCAACATGCCCATTAAAGTTTACCCCTATAAATAATTTCTCTCTTAATGAAATTCCTTAAATCAATTCATCTAAGTTATCCCAAAACCCCTTTTAGTATTTTCGAGCAACCCTACTTGTGAAACGTAAGCACTAAAAATATTACTAACATCCACTCTCAAAATAATTTTTATCAGTATTATTTTGTCTCCTACTCTTTTTACATCTACAATACTATCTATTATTATGTCATCTACAAGTAACCCTACTCCGTTTCTATTCTTTTCTTTTCCCGTGTACCAAAGTTTATATCCCCTTTTTTTCAATCTCTAAATTTTTCATCTATTAATTTAGTTTATTGTAAACAAATTATACTATTCTTCTAAGTATGATGTCTACTAATTCTATTGTCTTTCCAGTAAGTGAACATATATTCCAAGTAGCTAACCTAATTTTATTCTCCTGTAAAAATCTCCTATCACACCCTCTCTTATGATGCTCTAATCTATGTCTAATACTCTTTGTCAACATATTAGAAGATTGTAATGTCCTAGAACACTCTTGCTTAGTTGTTATTACACCATAACGCGTCGCTTCTGGGGAATGCCCGAGCAAACCACCTTTACTTACTTATCATTGCAAATCGATGCAACACGTCGCAGTGGGGATGCCCTAACGAATATTCAATAGGATTCATGTTATGTGGGTCCAAATATATTTTACGCTGCCTGTCGACTACCTAACGCAACCCTCCTCCAGCAAGGATAAAGGAGGTTGCGTTAGGTAGCCAACAACCAGTACAAAACATATCCTCCCATTAAATTATAAATGACATGAGAATCAACAACAAACAAAAGTGTGCCACAAATAATTCCACATCAAACAACAGTGTGATGGAAACCACCACCAACAACCTATGGAAGCCTCCTTTAAAATCCGCATTCTAGTGGTTGAAGCCTGAATTTTTGTTTAGGAGTTCCTTTAAGCACCCAAAAAAAATTTGAGAAAACCATGACGGCAAAAGTAAGTAGTTCCCAACTTCCCATATAGATCATGTGCCATGAAGGTATGTGGTGTATAATAGTATTACATAGCTAGAATCTCTTAGAAAGTAACCATGGTAGAAACTCCACATTTAAAGTGTGAGTAAGAGAGATTACCACTAGGATGGTTGATTTTCTCAAGGTCATCACAAACCCGAAAAATGAAGAATCCAACACTTTTCATATTTGGAAAGTGAACGGTATATAATAGTAGGATTGGATGCAAAAATTATCTTCGAGGAGAAACCACTATGAAAACTCAGCAGTCAGCAGATAAACATGCTTGAGATATAGCACTAGTGTGATAACCTCCAGCAATGTGGTGTCACTTTGCATTACATTTCTTATCACTTTCACCCAATTTGGTTGTTTGCTATCTTTTATTAGGCACTCTAAATGCATTTCTTATCACTTTCACCCAACTTGGTTGTTCGCTATCTTTCATTAGCCACTCTAAATGCAAAACATTCCTGGTTTGTTTCATTACATAGAAACTATCAAACAAGCATAGGGTGTGCGTCTACTACATCATATCATAAAAGGCTTCGTCAACTCCACCATACACGTCTCCATCAAAATTTCCACTTCCCTAAAAGTTTATGAGATGAGAATGTGGTATATACATACATGAGCATTAACTATTCACAAGTGGGATTTTCAGGCATCATGGGGATCATAATTAGATAACAGCTATTTAAATTTATCCAAAGCTCAATATATCTTCTAGGCTACAGAGAGAATCTAAATGGATTGGTGACACATGAATTTTCGTTGAACAATCACCTGCAATCAATGTTTATGCTTCACCAAAAAGTTTATAAACAAAATATTAAGAAAAGAAGAAATGAAATATAACTGCAAGTCTAACTAGTACTTGCCACTAGCAACATTGTATGTATGTGTGTGTGTGTGTGTGTTAACACCGTCGCTGTATGAATATGGCAATCAACAAGTATCACTTCACAGAATGAACAAAATGTGTTGTTAGCAGAGAGTCAGTGCTCACCATTACTTGGCTTATCCAAAAATAATCCAGCTGCCATCCAGTACTTCATGAAATTCTTTTTCACCCGTTTCATAAGGTCGACAACATAATCACCTTTGTTATTGTACTTATAGCAGTTTTCCCAAATAAATTGCACATCTTTGAAAACGTCCTCCGAGTTCATGTACTTATATCCATGTTCAAGACGATGACATATTGTGCCAAAGTCCATCGGAGTATCTATGATGTCAAAGTAGTCCTGCAACATAAAGCCTTGCATTGTTTAACTCATTTATACATAACTTTCAGGCAGTTTATTCGGTTTAATATTTTAAACAGAGTGATAGATTCATCTATTCTAACAGCTGAACAAAAGTATGCCTGGAAAAGTGTAAACGGCTAAGCTGGATTTTAGTTTATATGAAGCAAAGGAATACTGGTATTCAGAACTCTTGACAGATGAACGGATGGGAACTCTTCGACTATAATGATGTCAATTTGTAGAAACTTAACAGATAATACCATTGCAAAATAAATCAAGTTGCAAAAGGTTAAAAATGCTAGAGCTAATGTGTTATTCGAATATTAAAGTTGAACCTGTTTCAGGCAAAATTTCAAATACCAACAACTTGAACCTTAATCAGATAAACATGAAATTTTGGAGTCAACTTATAAATAGTTACCAATATAAAGAAAATTTTAGCATGAATCATGGTTAAATCCAAAGGAAAGTGCCCAAATAACTACATAACAACTGAATCACTTTTTTATGTGTATATACTACTTTATTTCACCACTTCGAAAGCTCCAAAAAGTGGGGTATAACATATCCAAGTCCTTAAAAACACAAAGCCTTGACTTTTAAGAAATAAAGCAACACTGAAGCACTACTGCCATAACATTGAAAACAAAGGTTGAAAAAATATGAAGCAAATATAAGCCCAAACAGCAACCTGTACCCCAATGATCAAAAATAGGAGACAGGAGACGAACAATAAAATGTTGCAAACTCAAAGAGAAGAAGTGTAGCTAGGGAGAGATTTCTAAGGAACAATCAGAAGATGCCTAAAGACCTTAATATAAGCTGAGATGCTTCCATACAGAAGCACCAAAAAGAATGACCGAAGGAAATTAGCCAGTCTCTGCTGATCCTATACTAGAGCTATGTGTTGCCTTGTATGTCTTTCCAAATAAGATTTCTTAGCGTTCTTCCTTTCAATATGCTAGAAAATCATGTTTATGTCTTTCTCTCAATCTCATAGAAGTTTACACAGTTAGACCAATATGCGAAATTGCAGATACTATACTTCTTTACCTTTTATTTCAATACATGCATGATGCTATTGTTATATTACACCTATATACAGTGAAAAAATCCGTGAAAATACTGAAATCATAACCATGATAGACGCTCCCTCTCCCCAAAGGAAATAAATAAAGTGAAGAAGAAGGGATAATTAAAAAAGATGTGCACCACGCAACATTCACACACATGAGAACCAGTTTCTGCAATTTTGAAGCCTGATCGGAAAAAAATTTGAACAGAACTAAAATAACCTTACAGGTATGCCAAGAGCAATAGGGTCAACTGGGGCATTGAAGGGCTCTGCCGCATCCATCTTCATAACTTTCTTGATCACCTGGATATACACAAAATTAATATTTTAGACCATTGTACTAGGTGAGGAAAAGGAGAGGAAGAATTATGAACTAAGCAATTAACTGCAAGTTGAACATACCGAGAGGGCAGCACTCAACTCTTTCTCATTGTATCGAGGGTCCCTACAATGTCGTTTTGTTTCCAATTTCAGTAAGTTCTTGGGCCACGAAAAGTTTTTTTCATTTTCGTCATCTGTGGAAACTAAAATCCTCTCACCCTGCATCTGCGTAGTAGGACTATTCATCCTACCCAAAGTTTTATCTTGGACATCTTCACTTGATAAATGGAGACTTTTTGAAGATTTTATTTTGATACTACCTGCTCTTTTTTGTACAGTTTCAAAGATATTATTTTGCATCCGCGATGTTTGTCCATCTGAGTAGGCACTGTCCTCCTTGTCCATAGCTTTATTATTTAATTCCAAAGCAGCTTGTTGGTTGCTTTTATCTGTGTCACTTGGTGTTTGTACATCTGAGTAACTTCTCTGAGGTTCTAATGCTCTTGAGGATTTGAGTTTTACCTTAAGACGCCCAGGTCCTGCCTTTCTAGTAGAATTATCATTAGGTTGATCTGTTTCGGTACTTGAGATGTTACTTGGTTTATCCAATGCAATGGCAGGCTGTTCAGTATCCATCCCCGAATCATGTTGACTGTCATCATTCTGATCCAAGCATGTGCTATCTTCAGCATCCATTGAAACTGGAGCTGAGGCTGTATTGAGCACTGGAGGAGCATTCTTTTTCCCTTTCTTGTGTCCCTTTTTAGATCCCCTCTTGCGTTTCATGTTTTCACAGTTCCTTAAATGTATATTCCTAGAGGAAATGAGCTGAACACACCTATCTCTGTACATAAAAACAGTGCACAAGAACTATCAGTGTATGAAGAACCTTCAATAAATTATCTCCTCTGTGTGTTCTCAATTTGATTTCTCACTATATACCTTGCCATAATGAAAAAGAAATCAAACCAATGATAACATGTGATGTTTAAACTTTAAAGAATAAATAAACATAGCTGACGGATAAAACGAATCATTGTGATTACTAAACTCTAAAGTAGCATTTGAAATCACTACTGCAATTACAAAGGAACATTAGATCCCATAGTAAAAGGTTTAAATATGAGGAACTAAGGGAAAATTTTTAGCTAGTTAACATTTTGATAAACAATGATTAAATTGGTCTAACTTAGATAAGTCTTATGTTATGTTTAATATTTGGGAAAGGGGATCATCATCTCATCATCACTTTCTTTATGATAAAGGGTGATTTCTTAAACATCCAAAGAGATGGATTGGTAAACAATAAACCTCTTACTTTGAGGGATTGACTCTTTTAGCCTAGCCTGTTGCTAAACATCACTCTGGACTATAAAAGGAGTGAGTTTACTAGCAAAACCATATAACAGTAATTTTCAATATCTCCAGGGCACTTTGATGCTAATGATGGAGAAAGGAGGAAGATTAACCATATAACAGTAATTTTCAATATCTCCAGGGCACTTTGATGCTAATGATGGAGAAAGGAGGAAGATTATCTGATTAGTCTTTCATGAGTATAAATCTTGGGCACTTTGATGCTAATGATGGAGAAAGGAGGAAGATTATCTGATTAGTCTTTCATGAGTATAAATCTCAGCAGCTTGAAGGTGAAACTCAGTATTACTCAGGTCAAACCTTAGTTTACAAACATAATGAAATGCATATATACATACAAACATAGCTTTAATATTGACAAATACTAAAAATTTATTAAAATTTTGTAAGAATTCATAGGAAGAAAAAGCACCAATCAGTAACATGTTAGCCAATGCAACAACAAGATTGACATGCAACGTTTTCAGAGTATATGCGAGTATCCACCTGCGCAGTATGTTGCTACTAATTATAATCAATGTTCATCTTAGGCGACTAAACCAACAAGGTTATGAGAGAAAATCAAAAACAAATCCGGAAAGATCAGCTTATTTCAGCGGGATGTACGCATTTTTGCATTGAAATTTCAAATAATGTGAGGATTTGAATAGAAGTCATGTCTAAAAGAGTCCAGAACCAAACATATGGAGGTCGCATCAGGTATTTAACAAAACAGAGATTTACTGAGAAACGAAGAACAAATCTTTGATTCCCTTCTTCTCCTTATTTTCTATCCGAACGGTCATTTAAATCCCAACCCAGAAAACAAGAGGAGAAAAAAGAGAAAATTATAGCACTATATACCAAGTCAACATAACAAGTGAGAAAAAAACTGACACTGAAAATTAATTCCCCTGATCTTCAAAACACTTTGAAAACCTTAGCTGTAAGTTTTTACCTTTAATAAGTAACAATTTTGAGTATTTTAACACATGTAACATTGAAACTTACAGAGTGCAGCACGAAATTTCACTAAAATGCAGAAATAGTACTAAACACGCATATCTTACTAAGAAGCCACTGCTTCAGATTATGGAGAAACCAAATATTTATGGAGATTTCTTTTTCCCCCACAATCGCCTTTACGTCAACCAATAGGGTCCTAAGATTTCTGCTTGCTACAATTTAAACTACTCCTTCATACATCCTACGAGATTTAATACGAAATTCACCCAACCTAAGGGAAAAAAATCCAACTCCGAATCCACTGCCGTAGAAAGAAGCAAACTTGGAAGTCAATTCGCCTACAGCTCGTGTAAGAAAGAAAAAACAAAACCCTAATCTGAGCAATTAGCAGCAATCACAGCAGAACGAAATTAGGGTTAGGGTTTCGATCTAAGCTAAGAGAACGACGAGAGGAGTTAGATACTCACTTGAAGCGCGGGAGATTTTAGAAAATTCGAAGTCCCGAAACAATAAGGCTGGATTTATATTTTTATTTTTATTTTTTTCCTTTTTTCTTTTTTCTATAGTAAGTTTCGAATTTGTGGGGGGTTTTATTGGGACGAAGGTATATATCGTCGCCCCTTCCGCGAGTCAGTACCACTGGGTCGGGTTTGTTTAGAGTGCAGTTCCGGAACCCGTTAAGTGACCTGGCTTGTTTAGCAGTTAGACCCTTCCTTGTAATGTGAAAGGGTTGTTTCACCTGGGCGAGGATAAATTAGCAAAGTATCTCTGATCTCTTTCTCTCTCTCTTTCTAAATATAATTTAAAAATTAATTAGTTCCGTCAGGGATATGCCAGTAATTTTGAAAATTTGGGTGTAAAGAAAAAAAACCAATGCAGGAGATTTGACGGCAAATTGCCACCTAGATATGAAGGACAGACTTGCAAAGATGTAGATTTAGAGAGAAAATATATTTTAAAAAAACCAGAAGTGCCGTTTGGCAAAAGGTTAAGAGAGAATGGCTAATGAGAAGGGTCAACTAAGTTAACCCATTATGAATGGTCAATAATAATTTAATTTCGTTCGAATAGGATCCTTAAAAGGAAGGGTTACATTTTCATGTTTGGCAAATGAAAAAAATTTAAGAAGGTTAATTCCCTTATTTTTCTAAAAAATACCAATCTTAATCTTATTGAAACCTTTCTAATAATTATTACGTTAAAACAAAATCATCTTGAATTATCACATATATGAACTATAAAAATATTATTAGTTTTATATTATTTTATTAAATCATCGTTGAGAAGACAAATAAAAACTAATTATTATTTTCGCTAAAATGAATAGTAAAGAGAGATATTAATATAACAAAAAAATTAATTGCTTTTATTAAACGATAAACTTATTTTTTTTTAAATGAGTTTTAAAGAAGAAAGTGTTTGAGCTTTGCTACAGTAACCAAAAATATGGGACCAACATGGGGGGACATGTGAAGTGTCCCCCTCCTATTGCATAATGAACTGGTCATCATTAATGATATTGATCAATTCAATCCCTGGAGACTTTTCAAATTCCTTTTCCAGCTTCTTGTGCCCTGCTCTTTAACATCTCTCTCATCGAATAATAGCGGAATATGTGAACCCCCAGCTTCAATTCAATCAGATTATCAGACTCTGCTTTTTTTAGGTATGGTTTTAATTTTTGAATTCCGAATGTAAATACTTCCGCTACCCCCGGCCTACTCTCCATTGCAGAGTCATTGGAGCGGGTATGTTGATCGTGATTTATATGGTTTACACTTTACAAGTATTGGATTGTTAAACCACCTTTTGAATTGCCTTTGATGGAAACATTTGCTTTCTTGCGTCTCAAACATGAACAAGTGAAAAAGGTGTCGATATATTCTGCATATTTTTCAAAATTTATAGGAGATTGAAGTACGTGTGGACTGTATTACGGAATCTATTTTTAAGCAAAATGTTGAATAGCTATATTTTTTTTTAATTTATCTATGAGCTGGTTGGAAATTTTTAGAAACGACCAAGGTAAATAGAGTTTCTTTTTAGAAGTAGAGGGTTAGAAAATTAGCATCCATATGTTTCATCCTGCGTAAGCTAATCGAATATGAAGTTTAGATAATCAAATTAAGTAATATGTCAAGATTTTTTTTCAATGAAACTAATAATTGATGTGGGCGATGCCTTAATTCTATTTTTTTTTATGCAATTTTCTTTCAGGTTTTATATAGTATATTGAGGATTTAAAGTTACATGCCATGAATCCTTATGAATATACAAATGTAAGTTTATGTTTTGCTATTGTTGAGGATCGATGTCGTCGCTGTTTGGCTCAGAAGCCTGACCAACCAGTTCGTTCTTCTCTCCTGTGCACCACCAAGAACACAAATGGGGAAAGCTACTATTCCACTGTCTCTCACTCACCTCACAGAGGGTGAAAGCACAAAGCTCTAGAAGGGAGAGGATAGATCGCACAAAGTAGAGGAGAGCACAAAGCTCAGGGTCTTCTCAACACCGTCGCTCATCTCCTTCTCCTCCGAGCTACTACCAACCCTTCGACTTAAATAACGAAGGGGGCAGCCTACACGGGAAAGAAAAGCCTAGGGTTTTGAATGGTAGGAGTCGTCGACCTACAGGGATGGGAGATGGGACTCACAGCGGCAGCCAACAGGACACAGGGATGGAAGGGGCTGCCGACCTTGGGTTCAGTACATCGGGTAGAAGGTGAAAGGTTTAGAGATAGGCTGAAACAAATATCATGGGGGAACTGGGCCTTTTGGTAACGGGCCAGATTTTGGGCCAACAAAATAGCAACAATCTCCACCTTTGGACAAGGTAGTGCATAGAGAGAAAAAACAAATACGGAACTGCAACACTCATCATCGCCAAACCATTAATTACATGTATGATCACAAAGAAGATACAAGCTGTAAAACCCCGTAAATTTAAAAATTTTCATGATAAATAATGATAAGTATGTTTTATGCTAAAAAAACATATTTTGATGTTTTGAGTGTGATAAGAATTGATTTGAGATCAATTCAATGTATATTTGTGAATATATGAGTGCAAATGCACAAAACATGCACGAAGAAAAATCTGGGAAAAATGTCTAGTTAAGAGTTTCTATATTTTACATAATAATATAGTTGGAATCTAGAAAAACTTAAAAGATCAAAGTTGTAGGTCTATTCAACATATTTTCAACAAATCTTAAATCACCTTATTATGAGGTCGGATGAGAAAGTTACAGTCAAAATACCAAAGGTAATTTTTCCAGACAGACTAGATTTTCTTGTTCGGGTCAAATGGGTTTGTGTCGGGTTTGCCTCTATAAATACCTATATTTTTCACGAAAATTCATCTTTTTTATCATATCTATGAATCTTAGCAGCCACCCTCTCCTCTCAAAAACCCTAGATCTTTTCTTATGAATTTTGAGAGTTTTGTGAAGCACAATACCGACACGAGGGCGAGATCATTAACGTGTGACAAAGGAGAACGTGTTTTTTGTTGTTTGTTTCAGAGCCTTGCACATGATTTTAAGGCAAAATCCATTTCTCTTTGACTTGTCGTTTTAATTTTTAGACCTATTATGAAATTTCTTGGACTATACTGTGATTTGATTATGCTATGGTATGAAGATTGTGATAACTGTGTGGGCTTGTTAAAATAAATAATATTTAAATAATGATAATATGATAAATAGTTTAAAGGAATTGATTTTGTAAAAAGAGTTATTTTGAGATGTTTTTAAAAGAAAGAATATTTTAAAGATTTTTGGAGTTATTATTTATGAGAAATAAATTAAGAGAAATTATTTTGGAAAAGGAAATATTTCTAAATTATGTAGACGCTGTTTATGATTTATAATTCTTAATTTTGATTGTCTGATATGTCATGATATTATTACACATAATTAGTTACATTGATTGTTCCTTGTTGTGATTGAGAATTGTTAGGAGTTTATGACTATAGTGACTTGTGTGACATGAATAAGACCTAGAGCTTGTGTGTTGTTGACTTAGAAAAACGAGAAGAGTTAGGATGGGGAAGTCTTTGTTCATTGATTGGATATGGCTATTTATATATCTTCCAGGCTCGCACCAGTGGATCAGTGTCACCACTGGGGTTGGTTTGTTGGGTCAAAATAGATTGGTGTTGCTACTTTGGACCGTGAATTTGATATCACCCGAGTTTAGCTTGAGTCTGGACCAGGCTGAAAATGGATTGCGTGTAGTCCTCTGACCAAGTTTGTGTAGCGATATTAGATGCACGTAGGGGATTTGTGAATAGTTATTTATCCGATGATATGAGCATTGACTCTGTGTGAGATGTGAACCAGTGACTTATTATAGGATGGCTAGTTACATGACCTCGTTTCTTGGCTAGGTATGATTTTCTGTGAGATGTAGGCCAGTTGTATTTCTTTTCATACATAGATTAGGGTTAATATTTAATTATCTACCATTTGAGACATATGGTATATACATGGGGGATTCATTGTTTGGATTATTTCGCTCGACGTACTACGTCTCTTGTTGTAGAGTTTTAAGTATTAATTCCATCTAGTTGTATGACCTTATTACTTGGATGATTATTCTGATTGCTAGCTGCATGACCTCGTCACTGATTGATTTTTGGATTCTTTGATTATTATATACTATTGGTGGATATCATCTAGTTTTTAGTATTCCAGTTGCATGCTTCTATTTATTATTATTGTTTTTACCTTGGTCATTCGACCGTTCCTATTTCTCCCTTGTGGGATCTTGCCGTGTGCCATACACGCTGACGTACATCTGTTTTCTCTGATGTACGTTAGATTTAGGAGACGGACAGCCTCAGTTCGGAATCGTACAGGAGCTAGATGATTCTCAGCAGGAGTGCCTTACAGACGGAGTAGAAGAACAAGCTGAAGCGTAGTTGTTTTCTTCCGTAGTAGTAGTTGGACAATAGAACTCTTTATCATTTTTTTCTTTAGTTTGATAATGGATTTCGTATTTTTAGCAATACTTTCTTTTATTATGGACTATGTATTTTTATATTCCTAATTTGACTGTTTTTGTAATAAGGGTATGTTGACCCATATTTTTTTATGTCTTGGATGATATTCACTTGTGATATGGATCATTTTATTCTGAGTTTGTTATTATATTCTTTCTAACTGTGATCGGGGACTTGTGCCTTTATATTGTATTTATTTCTTGACGCTTAGCGTATTAGGCTGAGGAAAAATATTTATTTTTATCTATTCTCCTTAATATAATACGTCATGGGCTTGTTCATGTTCCGATTCCTGGGTATTTTGGGAAGCGGGGCGTGACACAAGCAATGGAAGAGAATACACAAAGTAAACTCAGATCACAAAGATCAAAGTAAGGTCACCAAGCATACTAAGTCCACAAAGGACCGAACTCTACCAAACGGTCATCGAGTTCAAAGGGAAAAATCACAAAGCTACTAACAGGACCGAACTCTACCAAACGGTCATCGAGTTCAAAGGGAAAAATCACAAAGCTACTAACAAGCACAAAACAAGTTAATAGATACCAAACGGTCATCGAGT